GGTCATTCCTCCCAGGGAGTGATTTCTTGCTTTCCCTCTCACTATCTCTCTCTCTCTCTCTCTGGCGAGTGCACAAGCCCTATGACAAAATTTTTTTTTAAATCCAAATTATCAGTCCCCATTTTGGACCTACGAACCAGTATTTCCTGGAGGGCCCTGGGTCCTGGGATTTAAATGCTCCTTCAGGTAAGGTTCAAAGTTGAACAGGCATTGTCTCAGAATCTTCTCTTGTGAGAAGCTTCAAGCCAGAACCCCGATGGTGGAGCAGCATCAGTAACACTCAGTCTGACAACCAAGGATTTCTCATTCCCTTTGGTGTGGGGACTGTTGGGAGCCAGACATGTGAGGAATTGTTTAAGGCCTCTATACAGTCAGCACAGTTACTTAAGACAAGAAGGAGGTACCAGCAGATGGTGTAATGGTTATGTCACTGGATGCCCACATGGTCAACCGCGGTTGAAGTCCTGGACGCAGCAGTTTAAAATTCACACCGGGTGCAGGGCCAGCAAGTGGCGTGGTGATTAAGGGCACTGGACTCCACATGACCAACCCTGGCTTGTGCCCTAGACCTGGTGTCTTCATTTCTCACCGTCCCTCTCTCTCTCTCACTCTGTCCCTCTAAATAAATAAATTAAATAAACGAAGTTAAATAAAATAATTCTCTTTTAAAAAAAAAACCTTCACACCAGGTACATATGTGTATGTGCCCATAATCCTGGGAGGAAAATGGAGGAGAAGGGATTGAGGTGTGGCCATCCCCCTGAGGGGTGATTTCTCACTTTCTTTCTCTCTATCTGTCTCTGTCGCTCCAGTGAGCGCCCATGCCCTATAGCCAAAAATCTCTCTCTTAAAAAAAAAATAAAAAGGGGAGGGGATACTGAGAATGAGAGGAGAGATCTGGCTGGCACAGTTTCCTGAATTGGGCTAAGTTTTAACCTCAATTTTCTACTATTTTTGTCACATTTCTGCTGCCATCTTACATTCGCAGCCCAAACAAGTCTGTAGCTTTGTGATTTGGGACCTTGAGTGATGGCCTCTAGCCACGTTCATTTTTTTTTTTTTAGAATTATTTAATTTATTTATTATTATTATTCAGTTGACCAGAGAAAGGGAGACTGAGAAGGCAGGCCACTAGGTCCAGGACTCAAACCACGGTCAGCCATGTGGGAGTCCAGCACCTTAACCACCATGCCACCTGCTGGCCCCAGTTGCATTCTTTTTAAAGTGAATTCAGTGAGGGCTCATAAAGAACTCTGAGTGCTTGAGCTTTGAAATACACTGCTAGGCCATGGGAACCCATCCACAGTGTTTGCTGTTTACCCAGAATTCAAGATACTTCCATAAATATCCGCCACAAATATCTAAAGAGAAGAAAGGAGTCAGTGAACAGCTACCTTCAGCACCCCCTCTTCTTTCCATGTCAACATCTCCATTCACCTGTTAGGTGGTCAGGAAAGTCATGACATATTTTTGTTTTTCTATGCAAAAATGCATCATGACTTTCTCTCCACATTTCCCCTGTGTCATCAACCCACACAAATATAACACGCAACATTTCTGAAATGGAGTCTTGGTCTTCTATAGGGCTTACTCCTATTTAGTTACGCTGTCACTACCAGTGAAACGATTACAGTTGTCCTTTGGTAGCCATGTGGGATGGGCTCTAGGATCCTCCTCACATATCAAAACATTGATGTTGGGAACCAGCAGTTAGCGTAATGGCTATGTCACTGGACTCCCACGTAGTCGACTACAGTTCGCATCCCGGACCCAGTGGCTTAAAACTCACGCCTGGTGCGTGTGCGTGCATGCCCAAGATCCCCAGAGGAGAATGGAGAAGGGACTGCGGCGTGACCATCCCCCCTGGGGGGTGATTTCTCGCTTTCTGTCTCTATGTCTCTCTCTGTCTGTCTGGCGAGCGCATGTGCCCTATGGCGAAAATCTCTCAAAAAAAAAATTGATATTTAAGTCCCGTCCTTAAAATGAAATAGTATTTGCATATAGCCTACACACATCTCCCTGTTTGCTTTAAATATTTTTCTGGATTACTTATAATACCTAATATGATGTGAATGCTTTGTAAATAGTTGTAATAATGTCTTGTTTGGGAAAAAATGACAAGGAAAAAGTCTATATATGCTCAGTATAGATGCAACCAATCTTTTTCAAGTTTTTTGTTGTTGTTTATTGTTTCTGTTGTTGTTTTTGTTTTTTAAGAGAGATTTTTGCTATAGGGCACAGGTGCTCACTAGAAAGACAGAAAAAAAGGAATTACCCTCTCCAGAGGGGATGACCATGCAATCCCTTCTCCTCTATTCTTTTCTTGGGATCTTAGGCAGGCAGGCACGCACGCACGCATGCATGCACCCGCACGCCCATCCAGCATGAGTTTAAGTCGTTGGGTGTGGGACTTAAACCGCAGTCGACTACGTGAGAGTCCAGAGATGTAACCATTACTCCATCTGCTGGTCCCTCCAAGTATTTTGATCTGTGGTTGGTTGACTCCATGGATGTGAAATCTTCAGATATAGAAACCAGCATTTTTTTCTTTTTTGCTTTCTTCCCATGCTTGAAACTTTGAGCTGTTAGTCAACTCCCAACCTTCTGATGCATCCTAACATTTATGGATGTGCTTCTCGGAGTCACTATTTCAGAGACTCCTTCTGGTCCAGGCTCTTCTAACGTCAGGGCTAGATGGCTAGATGGCTTCAGCAATGTCCTGGATGTACCTGCAGTGACGAGCTGCACTCCTTCTTCAGTGCACACTCATCACTGTAAGAGCTACACCTCTTTGAAGACTATTCTTTTAAAAATTATTTATTTAATTGTATTCATTATTATTTTTAAAATTTTTTACAGGTATCTCTGCTTACCAGAGAGAGGGGGAAAGTGAGAAAGCAAGCTACCAACTCCGGGACTCAGACCACAGTCAGCCATGTGGGAGTCCAGCATCTTAACCTGCCACTCCACCTGCCGGCCCTTGAAAACTTTGTTCTTGTCATGTTCTTCATGCCTTTTGTATATATACATAATTACCAGTAGACACATGCACCGGCCAGTGAGAGACAGAGAGGGAGGGAAGGACAGGGAGAAATTACTCCCTCCCATCAGTGGGACGCTGTCACACTGCAACTCCTTTTCCTCCATTTCTCCATCCTGTAGGGATCTTGGGTGCACACACATGTGCTAGGTATTGTTTTAAATCCCTGGGGCCAGAGGTCAAACCTTGGCCATGAGAGATCCAGTCTCCCTCAACCGTTAGGCTACAGGGGCGCTCAAAGTCTTTAAGAAAGAACTTACTCTGCCTTCATTTAGTCTCTTTCCAAATCCAAATATCTCTGCTTACCCTACGGGCTTCACCATTTCATCAAGAGGAGTCTTCATATTCCTTTTCAGGCCAGGAAATCAGCATGCCATTCCCATCCCTCCACCTCTTCCCTTCCACCCACACAGCATCCTGCGTGCCGTCTTCCCCACGCCCACAATGGTTCGCTCACCCTCCGACTCTCTTGTCGTCTTTCCCTTCCTTTTGTTCTCATCTCTGCTTTCAAAGGCTCACTAAGCATTCCCCCAAGCCCCCTCTCCTTCTGTGTACTGCTGCTATATTTACATTCTTACTTGAATGTTGCTTTGCAAATATCCCCAAGCGATTTTTATATGTAGGCTCCCATCTAGAGAGTTTACCGCTGAAGACCAGAGGCAGAAAATTTTCCATTGCTGTGGTTAATGCTACACTTGGGGGATGAAGGCAGAAGGCTGAGGTCAAGAGAATGTTCAGCATGGAGTGGGCGCTCAGTCCAAGTTATTCTCTGTCTACAAAAGGTTGCTTCATCCCCTGAAGACAACCAGAAGAGAGAGCACAGCTCAGAGTGCTCCTAGCTGAAGCATATTTTCGGGAGCTCTAATGAGACCTGATTAGAAACCTTCCTCCTGTGTTATTATGCGTCATGTGAACGGTAGATGCCAGTTCCTGAAAAAATCAGGCTCATGGGGGCTGTGTAGACCGTCGCTTCTCTTCTGCTCTGAATGCTTGCCTGGTTTGCATTATGATTTCCTTCCTTGCTGGAAAACATAGACTTTCTCCCCTTCTGTGGAAGAAGTGGACCTGCTGGAAATCTGAGCCGAGGATTCAGATGCAGTGGGCTCGGCTGTGGTGTTCCGTAGTGCATTTCTTGACAAGTCTTGAAAAGACTATTGAATCCTGGCCTGTGCTTTTCTGCACATTTGGATGTGTTTCAGCTGCAGTGTTTGGCTGGGTAGAATCATCAAAATAGATTTTTTTTCCTTGCCTCAGCAATCTTATGTTACCTTTTATCCTTACAGTTATTTCACATCCATGCAAATACTTTCGAGTGCAATAGTCTTACAGTTTTGGGATGAGCAAACAACCTATCTTGAAAAATGACACATTTATGGATCAACATAAAAACTGGTGATGCTATCTCGAGAGAAAACCTGGCAAACTTCTGCGGAGCTTCCTAAAGGATCCCAAATTGCATTGGGAATCTTTATTTTTATTTTTAAATACAGGCATTGGGGGGGGGGTTTACTCAGTAGGGGATTTTCCCCTGTCTTTTCTTTCATTTGATGAAAATGCTCTATCTAGTCATGTCTGCAGTGCCACTAGCATTTTGCCTGTGTGGGAGGCTTTTGACGCCCCGGCTCTTGTTCTCTGGTAATCTTCAAAGGGCTGCTGGCCTTTGACTCTGCTTCATATCTAAAGCTCTAACTTTAATTATCAGATCAGCCTGCATTTTTTTTTCTTTGTGATTAAAAAGGGGAGAAGTTAAAATGTGCTCATTATTCTGCAAAATACTTGAAATGGTAGGATCTCAAATGTTTGATTTTGTTCTAAACATGAGAGATGATCAAAGTATGGACTCTTTCAAGCCAAGGGAGGGAAATGAGTGAATCAAGGGCATGGGGGCACCGAGTGCCGTGCTGTGCGTGGGCATTCACGGGGTGCACTTGGCTAAACACTGCAATCTCGTGCCTTTCAGGGTCCTTGCAAGTCATGAACAAAACAAGAAAGATTATGGAGCAGGGCGGGGCCACCTTTACCAATGCATTTGTGACCACGCCCATGTGCTGCCCATCGAGGTCCTCCATGCTCACCGGGAAGTACGTGCACAACCACAACGTCTACACCAACAATGAGAACTGCTCTTCCCCCTCGTGGCAGGCGATGCACGAACCTCGGACTTTTGCAGTGTATCTTAACAACACTGGCTACAGAACAGGTAAAGGATGCCATTTCTAGCCCATGGATCTCTGATCATCTGTCTTAGACATGAGAAAATGTATTATGGAATGAAACATACGAAGGTCTCAAAAGTCCATAAATGAAGTAGTCCAGTTTCTCTCTTCTCTGACAGTACCTTTCTTGTCTGTTGCTTTCTGCTCTGAAGAAGCTACTAATGAGACATCCATTTGACAGAAGTCAGAATAATTCACAATATGAATGTGTTGGAGCATCCCATGGTTGGAATTTTCTAGGATAACCTTCAATGGGAGGGTTTTTGTCCCATTTTCCTGCTTATCTAAACCCCCAACTCTCAAGGGATCTTGATACAACTTGAAAGGCTTTTCTAAAATGTGGGGAAATTCCCGCCAATTATTTCTTTTTCTTTCTTTCCTTTTTTTTTTTTTTTGAGAGATTTTTTGCTATAGGTTGCATGTGCTCACCAGAAGGAGTAAAAGAGAGTCAGAAAGACAAAAAGTAAAGGAGGCTACAAGGAAGAGGGCCACACCTCAGTCCTTATCCTCTTGGGGAAGTTTGGACACACACACACACACACACACACACACACATACGTGTCTGGCATGAGTCTCAAACCACCAGGTCAGGACTCAAACTGCAGTTGGCCATGTGGGAGTCCAGCGACCTAACCATTATGCCATCTGCTGGTCCCACTGCCAATTGTTTTAATAAGAAAGTATGAAGTGTTTGCAAACTGGTTAGCACCTCTCCCAGGCTCTCAGACACAGTAGATGCTCGAAGTCATTTATTAAATCAATGAATAACTAAGTGAATATGCCAACATTGTGTACCTTATTGATTCACTTATTTATTCATTTATAATTAATAGGTTCTACAAAGTTTCTTTAGCTTAAGTCCTGACCCTTTTTAGGTTTCAAATGTTCACACCTTGTTGGGGTGAAAGAACCCCCCCTCTTGCCTACTGAGGTTCAATATTTGAGCCTGAGACACAAGCGGTAGTAGACAAAAGACCAGGAGAAATGGTGTACAGATGTGTATTAATGTGCAGGTGCATGGGAAGTCGTCAAAGTATGAAACCCAAAGAATGACCGGATGGCTGAAGATGAATTGCCCTCTGCCCTCAGTGGGGGATGTAGGCAACTTTTAGAGGAGGAATGAATGGTTTTTAGAGGAGATGAATGAGCCCAAAAGGCAGACGGTGGCCTGGGACAATGTTCTGGGCGCTGAGTATGGTGTCAGTTCCCGTCTTCTTTCCTGCATGTTGATCTCTATTTGATGAGATTGTAGAGAGGGGGCCTAGACAGCTGTGTCCCTTCTGGAGGGACTGCCTTTAAAGTCCAAAGTGGCATAGGAGAGGACTTCAAAACATTCATGAAAAAAATGGAATTAATGTATAAGCTTATTCTGGAGCAGAAAATCTTGAAATCTATGTGTAATTTTCTCATAACATTCATCTTTCTTCTTCTTCTCCTATTTTTTTAAAGAATCATTTTATTCAAATTTATTTATCCATTTATTCATTTTAATTTGACCAGAGAGTGATAGCGTGAGAGAGAGAGAGCATGAGAAAGCAAGCCACCAGGCCCAGGACTTGAACCGTGGTCGGCCATGTGGGAATCCAGCACCCCCAACCACCATGACACCTGCTGGTTCCTTTCTTCTTCTTTTCTGAGAGGAGGGTTTTTTTCTATAGGGCATGTGGAGTCAACAGAGATGGAGAGAGACAGAGAGAGAGAGAAAGTGAGAAATCACCCCCAGGGAGGATGGCCACCTGCAATCCCTTCTCCTCCATTCTCCTCTCGGGATTCTGGGCATGCACGCACACGCGCCCGGCATGAGTTTGAAGCCTCCGGGTCTGGGACTCAAACCCTGGTTGGACATGTGCAAGTCCAGTGCCTTAAGCACTACTCCACCTGCTGGCCCCATAGCACTCGCTTTTCATGAACTTTTTCAAGGCCTCATTTTGAGGTATTGTGTTTTGAGCCCCAGCAACCTTTGTCCTCCAGAGGAGAAAAGCCTCCTGACGGCAACACCTGCTGTCATTGTTGGCAACACCTGCTGTCATTGTTTAGTCCCCGCTGGGAAAGGAGAGGTTTGTGCTTAGTTGGTCTTTTGAAAATTGGAGACTTCTTTCAAGAGGGGTTGTGAACATCATGTCGATCCTTCTGAGGGAGAAGCAAGGCTCCTTCTGGCAATGTTAGCCTCGAAGCCCTTCTCCTTCTAGCATATCTTTGCTATCCTCACGTTTTTTTCGGCATTTTTTTCCAAGAAAGGAAACAAAGACGTGATAGAAGGAAGTTGCCGTTTTTAAGAATCATCTAGACTTACTCATAAGAATTAAAAATATTGGGCATGGTGGTTAAGGGGACTGGATTCCCACATGACTGACCGTGGTTTAAGTCCTGGACCCAGTAGGGTGAAAATCAAGCCAGGCATGTGTGTTTGTATACCCAAAATCCCAAGAGGAGAATGAAGGAGAAAGGATTGTGGCATGGCTATCCACCCAGAGAATGATTTCTCATTTTCCCTCTCTCTCTCTCTCTCTGTCTCTCTCCTCTCTGGCAAGTGCACATACCCTATGGCAAAAACCTTAAAAAAAAATGTTATTAAGACTTTTGGGAGATGATTTTCAGGCATACAGATTCCCTATTCTGAGAATGAAAGTAAAGGATTTAATTTACTGAGGTTTAAAAGTAAAGAATTTCTCTAAAGTGTTTCAGATATTCACTAACATCTCTTTTAAAAATAAAATTAATTTTTCCCACTGGACTCAGGAAATATGTGATCATTTGCTTCTTTGCAGAGCACCCTGTGGGCAATTAATCCTTGTTATTTATGGATGAAAATATTGATTGTGCATATGATAGCATTGTCCCTTGTAGGCATCTTAAGATCTGTATTCACAGAAGCTCCTCCTTTGAATCTCAAGGGTGTTTGCTTATGCTTAGAAGGAAACTAGGTTATAGAGAGGTTACAGTGAGTGCCTTATCCTGAGTGTGTTTTCTCACATTCATGATTTAAATTTATAGCACCTTTCATGCGAGGACTCTAAAGCAATTTGCAAATCCATCAAACATCCCTGTAGAGTTCATAGACAGCAAATGTACTTGGCTCTGTTTTATAACTGAAATGGGGATTTCAATTATTGTGTGACCAGCTCAAAAGCAGAATTAGAAATGGTCCCCTAATGCCTTGTTCCTGATTTTAACCACCAAATTGTGTTTTGCTCTTGGGAAGTGTGTGAAATCAATGCCTTTCAACTCCCAGGCTCCCTATAATTTAATCCTTAGTAGCAGACCGGAGCTCGAAGAGTTGGGATTCTCACCATATCCAAAGTAATATGTCAGAAGAAATAGAGCTACTGGCTGGCACAGAGCTCTGTAGGACTTAGGCCAGTCAACTAGGGTTTGCTAATTTGTTTCAGAGCTAAATGAAGAAGGACAGAAAGGAAGGGAATAAGCTTCAGTTGCTTACTTGTTTGTACCAGGTACTTTACCTAAAGTGTTTCACCTAATTCTATGGCAGCCTTCAAAGAAAAGATTCATCTGTGTAAGTGATGAAGCAGCTAAGACTGAGGAAGGCTAATTATCTAAGGTCATAAGCTCATCAGCGGCAGAATGACTTCAAAGTCTTTCCTCCTTTTTTTTTTTTTTTTTTTTTTTTTTGAGAGGTTTTTGCTATAGGGCACGTGTGCTCGCCAGAAAGACAGAGAGAGACAGACAGAAAGCGAGAAATCACCCCCCAGGGAGGGATGGCCACGCTGCAATCCCTTCTCCTCCATTTAAATTTATTGGGGCCAGCAGGTCGTAGGGATTTAAGGCACTGGACTCCCACATGGCCAACTGCAGTTTGAGTCCTGGACCTAGAAGCGTGCTTTCTCAGTTTCTCTCTCTCTCTCTCTCTCTCTCTCTCTTTCTCTCTTTCTGTCTCACTCTGGTGAGTGCACCTTCCCTATAGTAAAATTAAAAATGATGATAATAATCATACAATTAAATAAATAATTCTAAAATAAAAATAAAATTTATCATCGATGAGAAAGCATTCAAGTATCTCAGGCAGCTAGATAGTAAAGATATCTTTGTGATAATAATTATTGGTCCAACTATAGACAGGCACCCACTTAAAAATACACAAACACATAAGAGTGACAGGCATCTTAGGAAATTAAGAGAATCATTAGTATGTATTAAATATTAAAGCAACATAATTATTTATGAGATACTAAATTAGTGGGAGGAAAGCCAATATAAAAAGATTTTATTGTGTTCCTAATAATTCATATATTATTTGGAACATTTAGCTGCAAGCCTAAGAAAACTAATGAAAGAAACTGAAATTTGTGTTATACATAAAAATCCACCTAGAGAAAGGCACAAAGCAGTAATAAGTTTTATGAAGAACAACCCAGAGAAGACAAATTACAATGAAGCTTATTTGGGGAGTCATCCAGAATACATGAATTTAAATGAATTGATTCAATATTATATTTACCATTACATGACGTGATTTTTCTTTTTCATAACTGAGGCAGATTTTTGGACTGGCTGTAGACTAAATTTTTCTAACTTTACTCATGGAAAATATGAGTCTGCAATAGTTTAAGTGTTCAAGGAGGGGAAAATACAGTTAATATGTCTGTTGCCCTTTATGTGCTGATAAGTGAAGTGGGGACGATATTGGATTATCTATCATTAAAATGAATAGCCTGCCTGAAATCTGCTCCAAAAGAAGTTTAGCTTAAATTCCTAATAAAGGTATAGACATCAATATAAAAAAAAAAAAAACTGGCATCAGTCTTAGGGTAAGATAATCATCCATCATTGCAAGGATTTCAGGTGTTAAAAAACTCTGAACTGACTGAGGGAACAGGAGCCACGTCCTACTCTGCCCTTAATTTGTTTTCTGGACTCGGAAAAGCCAATTTTCCAGTGGTATAATGCAGAGATTGGCCTAGACTAGTTCCTAAGTTTTCATTTCTATCCAAAATTATATTGTAACTTTATATACACACCGTAATTA